CTGGGTGACAAAGCAAGACTCCCTCTCAAAAAAAAAAAAGAAAAAAACACTCTATTTTTTCTATCAACTGACAACGAGTTTATTAGTTTCCAATAGAAATGTAGCTTGCAAATGTTATGGCATAACATAATTTGGGGAGCTGTTACTGCCCTTCACAAAGAACACTGAGCTGTTTTGGCATCTGTGACTAACAGGGTCCCCATTGGTTTATTAAAATTTCTTTTCATGAAGAATTCCTGGACAAGGTTGAGGTAATAACACATTCTGGACCTTGCAGTAATTTGGTAGCTAAAAATGACAAGTCTACAATTTATTGCAGGGGTATAGTGCAAAGAAATTGTCAAGAGTAAGTTAGTACAGACACCACCCAACTGTCATATATAAAAAGGAGCACAGCTATTGAAATCAATTATTCAATTCATGGATTCTCCAATTACTAGTTTTAATTTATGTGTTATTTAACTTCTATAAACTGTAGTTTTCACATTTGTAAAATTAAGATAATGATAATATTCATATCAGAAGTAGCCCGGCAATTCAAATTAGATTATTTACATTAAAGATATTTGAAAAGGCAGGTGTATATGAGCATTATTTTGGGGTTCCTAGAATTTCCTCTTTGACTTATTCTTGCAAAACAGTAAAATCTCAGCCAGAGAAGCTACCGATGTTGAAGAAATTATTTCTATTTTTTTTCAACTTGACTTCACCAGTCAAAAAAATGAACTTTGTGAAAAGGTAAAATAGAAAACAATTTGTTCACATTTTTATATTATTTGTCATTCATAACATTTTCCATGTTTTGTCATTTGACAGGTGCCAGAGTAGAGCTCTCTAAACTTTCCTTGTAGGTTTTATGGAAATTTATCTCTCCTATTTGCAATCTCTGTAGGATATATAAGTGAAAGATTGAGAAATATTTTATATTTGTTTTTCTTTTATATATGAGGATGTCCAAGGCTCTGATTTTGATTATTGAAAATCAAAGCAAACAATTTGATCTCTAATTCTGAGGTGTTTCTAGTCTATTTGAAGAGACAATATATACATAGATTATTTAAAATTGTTACTATAATACAACTGTTTACAACTGTTGATATTAACAATCTGGTCGTATCACAAAGAATCTTGGCTCAACCTGGGCCTTTCCATTATTTCTAAACACGTATCACAATGCATTCTGACAAACTCCATGTGCTTTTCCTTCAGCTGTTGTTTCCTTAATAATATTGGAAGCTTTTCTAGATGCAACATCTGTCAGGTCAGCATAGTAGTGAGTAATGAAACACTAGCCTTGCTGAAAATGCTCTTAAAATGGTAGTCCATTCTAATTCCTAGGACACCTAAGAGCACCTGATATTGGATGAGGGCAGGCAGCAGGCATGTTTCTACAGAACAATGCACTTTAGCAAGGAGGAGATGCTTGATGCCAGGGTGGTACCTAATGGTGTGGAGTTGGAGCAAAAGAGACACTTTCACATTGGGAGTACACCATGTTCTTGGTTAGCAGCACCCATTTATCACATGCAACATGATTATAGAAATGATAGTTACTACTCAGGAATTATTCATTTAGCACCAGATCTATACTAGATGCTTTTATGCCTGCTATCAAGATTAATTCTTGCCACTAACTGATAAGTGGACATTATTTACTTCCTCTCTTACCACTGAAGTTCAAAAAATATAAATAATTTGACAAGGATCATACTTCCAGTAAGTAACATAGAATTTAAGCCAAGTTCTACTCAGTTCTAAAAGTCTTTTCTACAGCAATATCTTCAAAGTGGTATAGATACACTACTGCAGGTTCACAAAGACTTTATATGGGATACATGGTGCAGAGATTTTTAAGAAAATTTACTTTTAGCCCATCCTTCCAAGTACACTTTTCAAAATAAATCTGATTGAGAAGACTCCTGAAGATTCTCCTTCACCAACTCTCCTTTCAAAATCTCCTTTCTACAAAGTTTCAGGAGAAGAGCCTGTCTTCCCCCTGTCCTGAATTCATTCTCAGTACAGTCTGCTCCCAGAATGGGAAAAACTTTCAGGTGTTAAACAAGTGGGAGATTCAAACTATTGGTACTAGTGTTGCCAACACACATAACTTTAATTACTAGGCAACAAACTTCTTACATGTTGAGTTGTTTATAAATAAATTCATCATTTGCAAAATTGCTTTTATCAAATAATTCTTGGTTGTCAGTTGATGGATCAAATTGTAAAAAAATATTTTTTTTTTGCTGGATTGTACCTTTATTAGCATATCTAGCTCAAATGAGTTCAAAAAAGTAAGTAAAATTTGTATAAAAATTTCTTTACCTTTATCTAGTTATTTATAAGAACAAGGTTTCCTGGCAATTATTTATTTTTGACCTTTAGAATAGGATTTATATACCTATTTTTGTTACAGAGAAGTTTGGTAGGCTAATTATTCTTTTTCCCTTTTAAATTTTACAAATAATAATTCTATATATTTTTGGTGTGTCACATGATACTTTGATGTATGTATACATTGGGGAATGTCTAAACCAACCTACTTAAAATATCTGTTGCCTCACGTATTTATTTGGGTGGTAAGAACATTTAAAAGCTACTCTGTCAGCAATTTTTCAAGTGTACCATACATTGTTATTAACTATAATCACCATGTTGTATGATAGATCTCCTGAGCTTACTCCTCCTATCTAACTAAAATTTTTTATTTTTAGACGAACATCTCCTTAATCCTCACCAATATTTTTAAAATATTTTAAGCATGACCTATATAACATCTAGATATGATTGTGTAGCAAAACAGTATACAAATGCAAGTTCAAGTATCAAAAGGTAACTCCAGAAAGTTACAGACTATCAAAGAAGAATTTAAGTTGTTTTTGGTATGGATGATGGTATCAAATAATTCAGTAGCATACATTTTTTTTGAAACTAATATCTTCGTTCTTAAATTGACACTATTTGCAATATTCTTGAATTATATCCCCTGAAATTATTTATGATTTAAAAAATTTGATAGTATAACAAGAGTTAATTCTGTTGTATATTTTTAAATAGCTAGAAGAGAAGATTTGTAAGATTCCCAACACAAAGAAAAGACAAATGTTTTGAGGTGATTGATATTCCAGTTACTCTGACTTGATCATTACATCTTATACATTATAGGTATCAAAATATGACATGTATCCCAAAGATATGTACAACTATTATAAATCAATGAAAAATAAAAAACTTAAAAAATTGTTTTAAATAATAAAAAATCAGTTTGGGACCTACTTTAAAAAGTGTGAAAGTATACATAAAAAGTGGTTTTAAGTTTCTCACTTATGCTACTCAAAGATAAAATCTTGAAGACACCTTCTATGTAGAACATTGTCTTCAGTGATGTGATTTATTGCTACATAGCAAAGGAAGTAAACCAATGTATTTAGGAGCATACGTTTTATAATAAAACAGACATCTGCTTTAAACTTAGCCTCCAATTTGTTATTTTACCTTAGACAGGTTCTTTGCCCCCTCTAAGCCCTTTTTTCCATCTCTATAATAATGTAGGTACTTAATTTGTCAGATCCTTCTAAATGCCACATAAAATTATGTCAAGATTTAGAAAAATCTCTACACAGATCAAGTGTCATGTATGTATATTCACAGAAGTGGTCATAGACAAAACTGTGTAAAAGAAAGGGGCATGCATATTTTTAGGCTAATCTTCCAGAGGGGTCAGGGATTGGTATGGTCTCCAAGAGTAAATAAAATAAATTCAAAAGGAGGTAAAGGAAGGGAAAAAAAAAATCACTACCTGAAGGGGCAGAAGCACTATAAGCCACAATAGCGGGAGAGCACAAGGCATGTGAGGCAAGAATTAAGAACTGCACCTTTAATAATGAAGATGTTGCTAATAAAATGCTTCTACCTGTATGAAATAAAGCTAGAACTTCACTGCTTCTGTTATAACTCTGATTTACATTATAATCTTATTCGTAATTTCTGCTTGCTTGACATTTCTAAATTCTGAAATTCAATAATACGTCCTTCGTCATGTTCCCTCAACTTGGTTCCTGCTTACAATTCAGTTTTGTTATTCAAACTTCTTGTTCTGATCCTAACTCTCAGTTTTGCCTGAGTGGGCACTAAAAAGCTATCTTAATCTTCCACTTCTTCATGGGCATATGAGAGAGAACACAAAATTCCAAGAGCTCATATTTTAGTGTCTAACTGGTGTGGATTAAAATCCCAACTCTATCTGGGTAGCTTGGTAAACTCAGAACTTCTCTGAATCTCAGTTTTCTTTACAATGGGGCTAATAATTTCTAATCAACAGAATTGCTGTAAAGGTTAGAGAACATATGTCACAATAAACAGCATACTCAACATTTAGAAAATAATAGCTCTTATTAAAATATTCCCATTATTACTGTTGCTGATGCAATACATGGAAACATTTATTGGAGTTCTAATTATTTTTGAAATGAATGTTTTATAAAATAAAACACATTATGAACTTATAGCAAAGATGTTCCTGTGAAAGACGAATTAAAATGTAAAAAGTCACAAATTTTATGCTTTCTGTGGAAGCAGAAACCAAAATTATTCTCCAGAAATGGAAAGCAAGGGGACACATAACAGGCTGAAAAGATCTGCTCTGAGTGTTGTTACAGACTGAAGTGAAAGTGACTGCTGGTTATTATAAAATGTTCTTATGACTTGTTCATATTGAAACAGAAATTATAGGCAGAAGGAACAGGAGGGAGCACAAACTGGCTCAGCCTCTTTTATCTGGTTAAGTGTCCATTGTACCTATATTTAAGCCATTTGATTCCACAAATATTTATTGAATACACCCTGGTTATCCAGAATGTAAAGAGTCTCAATATGAAATAAATTTTATTTTCGATTTTATATTTTGAATTGGGCTTTAAATTATGGTTATAAATCAAATGGGATACTCACTATGGTTTTCAGTCATTAAAGTAAACATTACCTTTTTTTTTTTTAATGAACAGGATTTGCTAGTCCACTTACTGGGCTAGCAGATGCCTCTCAAAGCAGCATGCACAACGCCCTGCACATCTATATGAATGGAACGATGTCCCAGGTACAGGGATCTGCCAATGATCCCATCTTCCTTCTTCACCATGCATTTGTTGACAGGTTGGTTAATATTTCTTTATAAACTATGTGCTTATTGGATTTATATGTAGAAGGTACCTATCAAATGTGACTTAAGTTATTAAATAAAAGCTAAGAAGTTATAGTAGTCTATTGTCTATGATCAGGTTGTACCCAAAACAGACCTTAGGCTAAGTATTTGCATGCAAATGTATAATAAAGAAAGTATTTATAAAGATAAATTGATAAGAAGGCAGGTTAGGCAGAGTACAAAAGGGAGAAAAGCCAAATTAGGGCACAAAGTTGAAATCCCAGACTCCACTAAATCTTGGTAGAGTGTAAAGTATACCCTAGTTTGTCCTACCTTAAGAAAAAAAGAGATGGGTTTTTGTATTCCCGTTACCCTGAGCTAGGGGCTGTAGAACTCCCAGGAGCTTGATTTCAGATAGTCTTTGTGGCTCTAGTACCCAAGGGCACCTTCTAAAGGCTTCAGGAGAAAATGATTAAGATCAAAGAATGAAAAAGCAGGGGGAGGGACACACAGAACTGATACAGGAACTTAAGGCCATGTGGGGCTGTCACTAACCTACTCCATCAGTCATCAATATATTTTTCCTTCTGGAAATTGTATTATTTCTTCTCTTTTCTAATCTAAGACACTAATATAAGTACACACTGATCTCTTCCACTGGCAGGAGCAGCATATGATTAATTCTCCAGACAGAGTGCACTATGGCCCAACTGTCCCATTTAATGTGATTTAATTCTCTTGGAGCTTTTATTCCCCTTATTAACCCTCTTCCATTACATGTGTAATGTCTTAGACATATTAGGTTTTAGACTTAATTGTAGGTGATGATAGCAGAAAAGAAAGTACTCAGAGGAAGGTCAGCTGTCTACTCTAGAAATCTTTCAAGAAGGAAGGAGATAATAAAGCATCAAATCATGACTGACAAATGCTGTGGAGTTTTCTTTGTCCCCTTTGCAATAATTTCCTCACAACAGCTAATGAATAAAGCAGATTTATACCTGCCATTAAGATAATACTATCATCCTCTTAAGTAAAAACAAGAGGACTTATGTTTCCTGTTTTAAAGATAAGGAAAGTGAAACTGACAATTAAGGATTTTACTTAATTTACCAACATCTTCACTTCACTCATGTCCACAGGAACACGGATAGAATATCAAATAAGAAAGTGACCGTTATCCAGGAAAATCATTAGGCAGATTTTTATTGGCCTCATGAGAACTCTTAAATAATGAGAATTAAGTATGTTGTTTTATTTAGAAATCAGTGTATAAAAATGTATATGAACATCAAAATGTTGGTATCAATACCAACATCACAACCTCCTATACCCATATATAAGAGAGAAAAGCATAGTGCTACAATAAAATGTTACCAGAAAAGATAAACTGAACGCCTTTTAAGATGTCTTTTCATATCATTTTTCGTGTAAATTTTTGCCATTTGTAATCTCTAGAACCACCCAGTGAACTCTAAATATTTAAGTATGACCACCCTAGCGACTTCCATTCAATATAATACTAAAAGTTCTACCCAATTTTCAATTAAGCAATAAAAATAAAAAGGTATGAAAATATGAAAGAAAGAGGATATTGTGTCTGTTTACTGATGATCTGACCTTATACACAGAAAAGCCTGAGAATTCACTGGAAAACTGTTAAAACTGATAAATTAAGTAAACTTGCAAGATACTAATCCAACATAAAAAATTAGTATTGTTTCCATATGCTTACCATAAACTATCTGAAAAAGAAACTAAGAAACCAACCCCATGTACAACAGCATCAAAAATAAAATACTTAGGAGTAAATTTACCCAAGAAAATGAAAGACATATACATGGAAAACTATAAAATATTGATAAAAATAACTGTAGACCACAAAAATAAATATCCTATATTCATAGATTAGAAGAATTAATATCGTTAAAATTACTATGCTACCCAAAGAAATCTACAAATTCAACGCAATCCTATCAAAATATCAAGACATTCTTCACAAAAAATAGAAAAACAGTCTTCAAATTCATTTGGAACTATGAAAGAACCTAATAGCCAAAATAATCATCAGCAAAAAGAACAAAGCATCACATTCCCTGATTTCAAAAATATACTACAAAACTGTAGTAATTATAACAGCATGGTAATAGCATAAAAGCAGATGCATTGTCCGATGAAACAGAATTGAGAGCCCAGAAATAAATCCAATAATTTACATTCAATTAACTTTTCACAAAGAAGCCAAAAACAATGGGGAAAGAATAGTCTCTGCAATTAATCATGTTGGGACAATTGGATACCCACATTCAGCAGAATAAAACTGGACCCATATCTAACACCATATCCAAAAGCAATTCAAAATGGATTAAAGGCTTAAATATAAAATTAGAAATTGTGAAACTGCTAGAAGAAAACATATGGTAAAAGCTCCAAGATTTCGGTCTGGGCAATGGTTTTTTTTGGATATGAGCCCAAAGCACAGGCAACAAACACAAAAATAGACACATGAGATTACATCAAACTAAAAAGTTCCACGCAGCCAAAAAAAAAAAAATTAATGTGATAAACAGACAACCTACAAAATAGGAGAATATATTTGCAAACCATACCTCTGATAAGGGGTTAATATTCAAACTATATTAGGAACTCAATAGTTAGAAAAACTAATTAAAAAATAGGCAAAGGATGTGAATAGACATTTTTCAAAAGAAGATATGCAAATGTCCAATGGGTACATGAAAAGATGCTCAACGTCACTAATCATCAGGGAAACACAAATCAAAACCACAATGAGATAATATTAACATTACCTCACACATTTTAGAATAGCTATTAATGAAAAGATAAAGATAAGAAGTGTTAGACTATGGAAAAAAGGAAATTATTGTTCACTGTTGATGGGAATGTAAATTAATATTGTCATTCAGAAAAACATGGAAGTTTCTTAAAAAATTAAAAATAGAACTACCACATGATTCAGCAGTTCCACTCCAGGGCATATACCCAAAGGGAAATATCTCTCAACTTCCAAGTTCATCGCAACATTATTCATTTTATAAGGCAAGATACAAAACCAACCCAAATATTGATAACAATGGATGGATAAACAAAATGTGATATATATACACAATGGAACACTATTCTGCCATAAAAAAAGGAAAATCCTGTCATTTGTAACAACATGAATGAACCTGGAGTTCAGTATGTGAAATAAAATGAATCAGGAAAACAAATACAGAAACTGCATGGTCTCACTTAATAGTAGAGTCAAAAGAAAAGTCAAATTCCTAGAATTAGAGAGTACAGGATGGTTACCAGGGGATGGATCTCATGTGGTTGGAGGGAAGTTTGTCAAATGATACAAAATTTCAGTTAAGTATCAGAAGTAGGCTGGGGGTAATTGCTCATGCCTGTAATCCCAGCACTTTGGGAAGCCAAGGTGGGTGGATTGCCTGAACTCAGGAGTCTGAGACCACCTTGGACAACATGGTGAAACCCCATCTCTACTAAAAATACAAAAATTTAGCTGGGTGTGGTAGTACGTACCTGTAATCCCAGCTATTAGCAAGGCTGAAGTAGCAGAATTGCCTGAACCTGGGAGGCCAAGGTTGTAGTGAGCTAAGATTGCACCACTGCACTCCAGCCTGGGCAACAGATCGAGACTCCATCTCAAAAAAAAAAAAAAAAAAAAAAAAAAAAGGAAGAAGAAAAGAAGTAAATTAAGAGAGCTATTATACAGCATAATGACTAAAGTTAATGACAATATATTGTATTCTTGAAAATTGCTAAGAAAGATTTTAACTGTTCTTAGCACATGAAAAATAAAAAATAAGTATGTGAACTAATGCAATGTTAATTAGCTTGAATAGGCCATTCACAATGTATGTATACAGGCACATATCAAAATACTGTGATCTTAGTTCCAGGCCACTACAATAAAGTGAATATCTCAATAAGTAGAGACACAAAGTTTTGGGTTTCCCAGTGCATATAAAACTTATGTTTATGAAATCAACCCAGGTGCCCATCAATGGTGGACTGGACAAAGCCAATGTGGTGCATTTACACCATGGGATAGCATAAGAAAGAACAAAATGATGTCCTTTGCAGCAATATGGATATAGTTGAAGGCCATAATCCAGAATGAATTAACACAGGAACAGAAAACCATGCACTGCATGTTTGCTCTTATAAGTGGTAGGTAAACAGTGGCTACATATGAATATAAAAATGGGAACAATAGATATTAGAAACTACTAGAGTGGAGAGAGAAAGAGGGGCATTAAAGCTGAAAAACTACCTGAGGTGTGTACTATGCTCAGTACCTGGATGATGGGTTCATTCATACCCAAACCTCGGCATCACGCAATATACCTTTGTAGCTAACATGCACGTCCCCAAATTCTAAAATAAAAATTGAAAAAGAAAAAAATAACTAAAAATTAAAATTATGTTTACACTGTACTGTAGACTATTAAATGTACAATGTCATAATGCCTGAAAAGCAATTTGCATACCTTAATTTAAAAATACTTTATTGCTAAAAAATGCTAACAATCATCTGAGCCTTCATCAAGTTAAACTTTTCCTGGCAGAGGGTCTTGCCTTGAGGCTGATGGCTGCTGAATGATCAAAGCTGGGGTCACTGCAGCAATTTCTTAAAATAAGACAAAAATGAAATTTGTTGCATCAATTGATACTTCCTTTCACAAAAGATTTCTCTGTAGCATACTACGCTGTTTGAGAGCATTTTATCTACAGTAAAACTTCTTTCAAAATTGGACTCGGTCTTGTCAAAGCCTGCTGCTGCTTTATCAACTAAGTTTATCTAAAATACTAAATACTTTTTACAATATCACAACATTCACAGTATCTTCACCAGGAGTAGATTCCATCTCAAGAAACTACTCTCTTTGCTTAACCATAAAATATCAAATCCTCATGGGTTCAAGTTTTATCATGAGACTGTAGCCATTCAGTCATATCTTCAGGCTGTACTTGTAATTCCAGTTCG